TGTGTGCGGTAAGTGTATTTTCCTGGCAATACAGTACAAGGCTGCGATGACAGACAGTTAGTCGAGTCAAGCAATACGACCACATTGCAAACCTTATAGTCGCGAGATTCACAGGCGCGAAGCTCCACTCCTCTGAAATAGAAATAAAATGAGGAACCAACCATAAGGTACAAAGAACAGGCGATAGTCACCACAGCAAACATTGTGAATGCCATCCACTTACGGTGCATCTGGTCCTTCTCGGAAAGAATAAAACACAAAGTTAGGGTCCTAAATGCATGAAGCTAACGCTAAATAGTAATGAAGGCCTTAAATCGACAGTAGAGGCTGAGTGAACACTTAGTACTTCAAGACTCACGATATACCGTGATTTTGCGTATAAGCTAAAAAATGAGGAACACCATCAAAATGTTCAAGCGCATGTCTGCCTATCCCTACATACACGCAATCAAACGCATCTTAAATACCTCTACAAGCTGTAAATATTCGCCGCCAGGTACATTTATACAACAGAAACCTAGTTGATCAGCTAACATAATTAGGATCTTCATCAAACCGAAGGATAAATGTAATAAAGGACATACCCTTGGTGTCAGGATCAACAGATGCTCTGCCAGATCCGAAGTAGTGGTATGCTCACCAGTGGGATCGTCTTGAAGAAAGTATAGAGAGAAATATGAAATGTCAACATTTTGAGGAATGGATAAATCAACAAAACATTATTTATCTTCACCTTGATGAGGAGGTATCAAATACCAATGTAATCCATTGAGTTTACTTGGTAAACATAACGATCCTAAATTGTCAACTTACGACCCAATTTGGGTGATCGTTGAATCATGGGTGAGATTTCACTTTCGTCAAAGGTATCACCCTAAGGGTAAGCAAATGGCGAGCGGTTACGTTATGGGGCCAAACGCGTTCCACCGCGACAAGACACTCATGACTTCCCCCCACAACATTATCGTAACCCATTAATAAGCTGAAATAGTGTTGGCTGTCATAAAAGTCACAGTCAACTCGCCTTAGCGAATGCATCCTACTTCGCTTATACTTGTCTCACTTCATTTCACTTCATGAAAAGCAGCCCCTTTCTCAGTACTACCTCAAGCCTGTATAACCTTTGACAATCACCCACAATTCGATACATTTCACGTGAGCACTTACTGCCACTGACAAGGCATCTGTGCGGTAAGTGTGGTTTCCTGACGATACAGTACATGGCTGGAATGACAGATGGTTGGTGAAGTCAAGCAATACAGTCACATCACGAACCTGATAGCTGCGCGATTCATGGGCGCGCCTCACCGCTCCTCTGAAACAGAGGGAAAATAAGAAGCGAAAATAGTGTTAAAAGAACCGGTGGTAGTCACCACAGCAAACATTGTGAGTGCCATCCACTTACGACGCATCCAGTCCCTCTAGAAAAGAATAAGACATAAAGTTAGGGTCCAGATTGCATGAAGTCAATGGTAAATGATAAAGGCTATAAGTTGACAGTAGGGGCTACGAGTAAACACTTTGCACATACAAAAGAATTCAACACTCACGATATGATACACTTCTACGAATGGGCTGGGAAAAAATGGGAAGGAACGCTATGAATGTCCAAGCCAAATGCCTAGTTCATAACATCTATCAGTGAAACGCCGCCTTAAAAGCTTCCACGAAATAGTGTTTGGAGGCATTAGCCGGCTTTAGCCGCAATACCACTGCCAGATACTTGATTTATATAGCCGAGATACACTGCACTACGCTGAATAAGGCTCTCAGATACGCTCGTGCCATTTTGTGTCAGGGATCATGCCGCATCACACCCTCTCGTATCGTAACCCTCTCAACCGCAAGCGCTACTTTGCAATTAACTGTAAGTTTACAAGGCGAGTATGGTCTCTCGAGCATGAAGTAGTCGGCAATTTCGAGGTCCAAGGTGGGACTGTTTGTGATAAACCAATGACATTTGCGTTCGATTAGTAAACCTCGGATTAAAAACGAAAACACAAAAACCACCTCTCTTTGCAGACTAGTCAGAAAACAAACAATCTTATTAAGCTGAAACACATATAGAAAATATAAATGAAGCAAAGGACAAGGTTTTTTACTCTTTGAGGTTTACTTGCGTCTGCTAAACTACGTTTTTTGATTGTGACTCCAAACATACTCACACCGTGTAAGTCATAAGCTCGAGTTTCGCACATATTAACTTTAACCGATTTTTGAGGATATGAGGTTTCAAAGTGAGCGACAATTTAAAGAGAGCTATACGAAGTATACCAAGCCAATCTACTGATACATGCCGATCCATGTCTACATACCCGCAATCAAATGCTTATTTAACACCCCAACACGTTTCAAGTCTTCGCGCCCAGGTGCTCCATAAAATACACACAATTATTTGACCATCTGCTAAATTAGGACCTTCATTACATCAATGAGAAATTAAAAAGGCAGACTTACATTTTCGGGTCGAATTACTTGATGATTCGTCGTATTGAAATTTGTTGCATTTGCATAGGAAGGATCCCTTAAAAAAGTGCACAGAGAAATGCTTGTGACAACTGAAGAAGCAACATTAGCATTCTTCGACACATAGTGAGAGGCCAATCGCTTGGCTAGAAAGGTTAGTAATCTGAGGTAGATAGGTTCTTCATTTAGAGGAGGTCTTTAATACTAATGGAATGGAGCCAGTTGATTTGCCTGAGACAACAAAATCCATTATGTAATTACTACCTGGATCGGATGTTTCTTGATTGACCGGTTCCTCATAAATATTATGCTGAAAGGAAGTAAGTACGTGGAAGAGAGTACGTCAAAAAACGAAACTACGCACAGCCACGTAGAAGCATTTGCATCCTTTCGCGTGAGTCAGCAATGTTAATCCTGACTCTGCAAGACGTAGTGATGGAAATGCCTATGCGTCAACAAATGTGAAGCTGTGTATTCAAATGCCTGTCTCTCCTCATTATCTACTCATAATTCTCATTCAGTCAGAACTCAAAACTCTACGACCTTATCCGTTGTAAATGCTACAAAATATGCAAACCCAATTTAATTTGAACTTACGT